ACGTACGTATGTACATACACGCGTACGTATCTGGTATGCAACTCACTGCCGCTGTAAATTGTCACGTGTTAACCTAGATAAATATGGTCATTAAATAACGATAAAATAACAATCGAAAACTTTTTTTTAAGACAAAGGTTATTATTATCCAAATGTGTTAATCAAGGTGAAAAAAAAATAATGTACTGGTATTCTTATAACAAGGAAATAAAAAAAAACCGATTTATTATAGTTTGTTAGTTAAAAAATGTATCTGCTAAATACAAAGTAAATTTTCATGCTTTGTGTATATACTGTATATGCTTTGTTTGTATAATGTTAGTAAATTCAAATAATTTGATGTTATTCTGAGAACAATATACGTATTTGATTCGATTCGTTATTATTATTAATTTTTTTTCAATTATGCATATAATAATAACGATGAATGATAACAACATTAATATTTATGAAAAACAAATTGATCGACTTTAAAATTATGATTATGTAAATTTGATTCGTTAGATTGGTTAAAATAAGAGACTTAGTCTCACAAAGATCATTTTTAATCTTACCTCTTTATGAGTCATAGAAATTTAAGATAAATAATTAATTCATTATATACAGTAATTATTATCGTTATTACTGTATTATAATTACTGAATTAAATTTAGTAAATTTTTTATACATTTAAGTTTATTTAATTAATAAATATATTTATATTTTTTAAAACCAAATTTCTTTTTCGCAAGTAAACGGATTTTAAAAATGCATTTTATTCTGATGTACACTCCCCTATTGATGCATGCAAAAAAAAAATAATAAAATAAAATACAAGTGTTAAAAAGTGTAAAATATTACTGTAATAAATATGCACGCATACAATTAAATACATGATTTCTATAATTATTATGACACAACTAATTCTATTGAATATGAATCGTCCATAATCTATGCCGCAGAAAAAAAATAAATGTTTTTATTAATTATTTAAATGTACACAAAAATATCACGAATACGAGTTTGGTTTCAATGTATCATGTGACATCTGTGGTCTTAATGTTCTTATCGTTAATCGTTGTTTAACTTGTTTAGTGGTGGTTTTCTGTTCTACGTTCGTTACACCTTGCGAATCAACTTTTTGTAAGTCTGATGATATATACATATCTGACGCATGTGATGGTCGTCGATTTGTTATCGAGGTTACGCTGAGTTGTGAAG